GCCTTGCAGAAAGCCATGAGGCAGCCGCCAGCGACGATCAGGAGGTTGACCATGAGCATTGAGTTGCGCCTGCAGATTCAGAGACTCCTTGAGGCTGGAGCATGCAGCCCGTCGTTTAACTCTTCCCTCTCCCCACCTTCCCTCTCCGAGGAATCCCTTGGTTTACTTTAAGTTTTCTCTCCAAATTTCTATTATCAAGACATTTCATGTGGGAGTAACCTGAATTTTTTTTTTATTATTTTTTTAATTTTAATTTTTTTGGCAGAACCGGGGATTGAACTCAGGCCCTTGTGCTTGCCAGGCAAGTGCTTATTCTACTGAGCCATTTCCCTGGCCCCAAAGAACTGAGCTAAGGGGCAGGACCCCTGAAGATTTTTAAAATCACTTTTATACTTTGCTTTTTTAATGTATTTGGTACAAGTTCTGTAGGATCTCACTATGACTCTGATGATCCTCCTGCTTTCAGCCTCCCCAGTGCTGGGATTACAGGCGTGTACCACCATGCCTGGCCTCTGGCTGGCTCAGCCCGCCCCGGGGGTGGAGCCAGTACAGCATGTGGTGCTGGAGATCCAACCCCTGTCCCTGCATTTTGCCTGAGCAAGCACTTTAGCCCACTGAACTGAGCTATCTGGCTGGCCTTCCCACAATTAGTATTGATAACAGGTATAAACAAACTGCCACATTTGTGTGCTAAGCCCCGGACTGAACATGATAACACAGAAATAAATGATTAGCCCAGAGGGACCAGGAGGTAGCTCAGCAGCATAAACTGCCTGCTTGGCAAGCACAAGGGCCTGAGTTCAATCCCCAGGACCACAAAACAAAAAGATTAGCCCTGAAGCAGGGTGTGGCCCAGTCTGTCTCAGCACTTAAGCTGAGGCAGGAGGACTGCTGTGAGTTGCAGGGGAGAAGTTGTGAAGACAAACAAGAACCCAAAAGATCAGCAAAAAAAATTTAAGTGATTTACACTGAACACCTAGAGCACATGTGTTAGAAGCAGCATAATAACCCTCAATACCACTTGTATGGCCAATGGGGATTTTTAAAAAGGTTTTATTATATATTATTATTTTGTATTTTAGGGAAGGGCCTACAGGGCGGTCAGGGTCTCACTACTAGATCAGACTTGTAGTGCTCTGCCTGTTTACAGCCTCCCAAGAGCTGCATTATAGGTGCACGCTAGTATGCCCAGTCTCAACCGCCGTCTCAGAGCAGCAGGGCAGGCCAGTGGCCCATGGGGATTTGAGGGAGGTTTGACAAAATCTGAGGCATGCATGGGTCTCACCCCAGAGGTGGGAGCTTAACTGGCTGGGTGCAACCTGGAACTCCCCTCCCTAGTTCTATCTTTCCTGCATTCCTTTCCTGGGGACCCCTCTTCTACTATGTTTTTTGGTTTTTTTGGCGGAACCGGGGATTGAACTCAGATCCTTGAGTTTTGTCAGTCAAGCGCTTATCCCTTATCCTACTGAGCCATCTCCCCGGCCCCTACTATGTTCTTTTGCTAATGAACCAAAGAAAGCCACATCAAATTTTTTTGTGTGTGGCAGGATCTCACTGTGTAATGCTGGCCTTGAACTCACTATGCAGCTCAGGTTGGCCCTGAACTCACCATTCTACCACCCAATTTAGTTATAGATGAACGAGCTGAGCTGGGCATGGTGGTGCACACCTATAATCCTAGCACACAGGAAGGTGAGGCAGGAGGATCATTGTGAGTTTGAAATCAGCCTGTGCTACAGTGAGCTCAAGGCCAGCCTGAACTGCATAGTGAAACCCTGTCTCAGAAAAAAATAAAATGGAGCCCACTTGAAATTCTAATGCAAAAAAAAGAAAAAAGAAAAGAAAGAAATTCTAATGCATTCAGAGTTTGGGAGTGGAGGCCAGTGGTATAGAAGTTGCCTAACAGTCCTGAGGACTAAATTTGATCTCCAGAACATGAAAACAGAAAATTAAATATTTAAACAGTTCATTAAGCAGGTGTTGAGTGAGATCATTTCTCTTTAGGGGAAAAAAATTCAGTACTGGGCCACAGTCCATTTATTCTAAACACCAATGTTTACAAAAATATCTTGTGTAAAACAGTGGAAAGACTTTCATGACCCCTTCTTCCTTTCTCAAGAAAAGCAAATAAATTCTGACCTTCTAAATAGTTTCTGGGGTCACCGCGGCACCAGCCTGAGCTACACTGAGAGCTGCCCCTTGAAGGCGGAGTGGGAGCCAAGCTCGGTGGTGCCCGCCAAGCCAGGGTAGTCCCTTCCGGGCCAGCTGGACCCGGTCCCCTTTGCTCATGCAGATGCCCCAACCTCCCTGACCCAGTTTTCTATGTTTGTCCTCAAAGCCACCAATACAGTCCACTTCTTGGCCAGGTTCTGATCCATACCTGCCAAAGCGGTTGACAAAGAGTCCAACGGAGAAGGAGCCAAGCATCCCGCCCACGGAGAAGATAGCTACGGACAAGGACCAGAGCGTCGTGAGCAGCCCCGTGCTGGGAGGATCCTTTAACTTCTCGGACAAGGTGCTGTTGATAAAATCTTTTATGATCTGAAAAATAAAATGATTGGGGGAGGGCAGACTGTTACAGATGGACACGAAGGAGAGACCAGGATCACTCCCTCCTGTCCTGCATGGATGGGGATGGGAGAGACCCGCACTGGGTGGATGAGATCCGCGAGAGCGGCTGGGAAGATATCCCAGAAAGCCCAGCAGGTGGCAGCACTGGCGCGTGTGGTACACCCAGCCACTCCGGGGTTGGGTCAGAAGCCGCCCAGCTCACCGTTGGGGGAAATGAGTTTTCTGTCTTCATTAAGTGACTCACAACATGTTTACCATCTTCTGCCTCAGCCCAGAGAGGCTAGATCCAGTTTTAAATTCCCGGATTTCCCCCCGCCCCCCAACGTCAGACATTAAGCCCAGGGACTCCCTCGTGTTAGACCAATGCTTCCCCACTAAAGGATGACCGCCCCAGCCCATTAAATTCGCTTTCCTATTCTGTTTCCAATTGTAATTCTCAGTGGCTGATACTCACCATCTCGGGAGCATTTATGACCCCAGTGTTGTAGCCAAACTGGAAAGAGCCGATTGCAGCCACGGTCACAGCAAAGACCAGAGACGGGGTCACCTGAGTGGAATGGGGAGGGGGGAGCCTTTAGAACCTTTTTTAGGTTGTGGACTGAACCCAGGGGCTATTCGCTGAGCCAGTTTCCCTGCACCTTTTCACTCTGAGACAGGGTTTTGCCAAATTGTTAAAATTGCCCGACAGGACTTCCGATTGTGATCCTCCTGCTTCCATCTCCCAGGGTGCAGATTCCAGGGGCACCCCCCCACCCCAGCTGGACCTTGAAGCCTTTTCTCCTGTTATGGAGACACACTGAATTAGTATTTGACCTGTGAGAGCTAAGAAGAGGACAGAAATGTAATGAGATTTCTGAAAAAATTTGTGGAAGTTAAAATAGGAACTGGTTTAGAAACATTAAAAGAAAAACAACTCTTCCGTACCAGGTAAAAGCAAAGGCAAATATTGTACTCAAGAATTAGGAAGAAAAAAAAAAACAAAAACAAAAACAAAAAACTAGGGAGGCAGAGGAAAAGACAGATTTGCAGATTTGCAGGTCCAGAATTGGTTTTTTTGCCAACACATAGATCCAGTGTAGACCAACAAGATGGCCCAAGCAGCAGTGGTGGCTTTGCCAGGGTGGGCTGCCCTTCTCCCACCACACCCTGAGCCTGGGCTCCCTGGTGTCTTTCTCCCCCACACCCAAGCAAGGGAGCTGGACTCGCCCTCTAGCACACAGGAGGTGTGTGGGGAGTCAGATGGCCAGCTCTCACCTCGCTGAGAGTCAGCCACCCCGGAGGGCCAGTGACCACCTGCGGAGACTGGCCTCAAAGGCTTTCCTCAGGGTCCTCACAATTCCTCAACTTTTCCTCTCAGGTCAGAGGGAGGCAAGAGGGCAGGCCGGGAGCTACATTGGTAGCTGCCTGCCTAGGGCCTCCCAGCCACCTCAGTCCCAGCTCAGTCCAAGGCCCCAAGAGGACTCTGCCCCGGTTACCCCCCCACAAAGCAGATCTTTTTGCTTTATTAAAAACCTCTTCTCCCGGGGAACATATCTCAGCTGCACAGCGACTGCCTGGCAAGTACTAGGTCCTAAGCTCAGACTCCCAGTACAAAAAAGATGGAGATGAACGCCTCTTCTGCTGGGCGTGTTAGCCCACATCCATAATCCCAGCACCAGGGAAAACCACTGAGTCAAGGCCAGCCTGGGTTACCTAGTGAGACCCTGTCCCTTTCTCAAATCAAAAACCAACTAACCAAACAAAAAAACCCAAATCACACAACCTCTTCTCTCATCATTAGCTTGAGGGCCTCTCATGTTCGGTCCCATTTTTTCTTTATCCCTTCTAACTGCCTTTACTATCAGATGAAAATATTTTAGTAAAAATGGCTTTCTCCCTACAAATGCTGTATACACAACACTAATGACAGCCACAGCTCAGGATCGGGGACTTGCACAGGTTAGGGTAGCTCTCCAGCGCGACAGACTGGACCTGACCAGAGTCCCCGGGCTAAGCCTGGGTGCCCGATGTCCGGCGCGCGGGGCGTCCCCCTGCCGTGGCTGAGCCCCGCGTGCAGCCCCGCTCTGACACGCCGCTGTTACATAAAATGACCCCGGGGACAGGCTGCTTCCTGACTTTCCTCCGACGGGAAGGTGAAAGAAACTGTAGCGATTCCAGTGAGGTCAGACAGCGGCACCGCGGGCTGAAGGGTGCCCGGTGACCTGAAGCACACGGCGCCGAAGGATTCCTTCCCCCAAGTGCCACCGAGGGCCGCCAACCGCACGTCTCTTACCTTGTACCCCATGGTCCTAGTTCTCGGCGAGGCTTAGGTAAGAGCTAGGGGTGGGATGTGAGAGCCGCCTCTTTCAGTCCAGGCAACCCGCAAAGTGTCCTTCCCAGGCAGGCGGCACAGCTACGACAAGTACAAGCACCTCGGTCCTCTTTAGCATCACGGGGTAGGAGACGCAGGCTCTTATAATATGCGCGAAGGGTGGAGCCTGCGAAACGGCCCCACCCGGCACCTGCCTCCGGGTAACCAGGCAATTGTGTGACCTCGGGATTAGGATTTAGGCATCCTCACCGCCCCTCTCCCCCTGGCCCCTTGGCCTTCCAGGCACTCACCCCGCCCCCTTCAAACCACATCCTGCAGCTCTATTCACCCCACCCCACCCCCAGTTTTTGTTTTTTTTTTTTCTTTTTTAAGCTCATCCGTATCCTTCCCTCTTCCGACTGCCTTTTAGTTTCACAGACAAAAGAGGTACCAGAAAGCCTGTGGGCGGGCAGATACGATACAATTTGCTCTGGCATCTACTTTGGCCATAGTTACAATCACTTAGGAATAAATCTATTGACATAAAACAAAGTAGAGTGGCGGTAAAGTCACTTGAAGGTGTGTCACCAGAAAGAATTGTAATCAGCTGCTTTTTGATTGCAGCCTGAGGTTACAGAGCCTTACAGGCTCTAAGGGGACAGTCTAGCAGAAGAAAACTGTGGCGGGCATCCGGCCAGTTTCTAGCCCGGCTCGCCCTCTGTTCACTGGGGCGATGGAAAGCCGAATCTCTAGGCGCCAGGCTCTCTGCGGAGGAGGCTGGCAGTGGGGGGCACACCCCCAGTTCTCAATACTGCCTTCACCCTAGTGCCCCTCAGCCTCCAGCCTCAGCTCACGCCGCTGGGGATGCAGTCAGCGTCACTCATCCCTTAATTATCTGCTGAGCCCAGGTCACTCTGTAGCAGGCTTTCTCTAAGAAGTTGAGAGTTCTCATCAATAAGATAAAAAGGAGCCGGGGAGATGGCTCAGTAGAGTAAGCGCTTCCCTGGCAAGTGCAAGGGCCTGAGTTCAGTCCCCGGTTCCAAGGGTATTTCCCTTCAAGAAAAATTGGAGAAGGGATAAGGACAATCGAGTCTCACAAAACTAGAAAAGGTTATTAAAGGGCCAGGGAAGATGGCTCAGGAGAATAAGCGCTTGCCTGGCAAGCGCTTATTCTACTCTCTCTCCCCGGCCCCTATAAAAGGGTTATTAATATGCTATTGATAGCTGAGCCAGAATCCACAGCAAAGATACGAGAACTAGGATGAGGCAGTGAAGGGCGGCTCAGGCCGGCATGAGGGCAAATAAAGCAGGGGAATTGGCCTGGGCAAAGGGCTTCCTCAGGCAGAGATAACTAAGGCTCTGCAGAACGGGGCCTCAGTGGCCAAGTAGCTAATGATCTGTGACCTGCAGTCCCTGAAGCCTTCGACCAGAAGAGCTCAGCTGATCAGGGATTTAAAGGCCAACAGCTTTGGATGAAGCTGGAGAACACCCATGTTCCTTTAGGTTTTGGTTGGGAGCATAGAATCCCAACTGATAGTACCAAACCTGGACAAACCAGATTCTTTTTGATACAAGCTCTCACCATATGATCCAGCTTGCTAGGTAGCCAAGGCTGGCCTTGAACTCAAGATTTCCTGATTCAGTTGAGATTATAGCCCTGTACCACCACACCAACACAGGACAAATTATAAATGTTGGATAGCTGTAACAAATAGAACATTTTCAACCAGGTGTGATGGTGAACTCCCAGAATCCCAGATCCTAGGAGGCTGAGGCAGAAGGATTTATGTGAGTTCAAAGATAGCTTGACTGCTGAGCGAGACCCTTCTCAAAAACAAAACAGGAGACCCTTCTCAAAAACAAAACAGGAAAGCAATAAGACAAAACAAAAACCAGGCCAGGTGTGGTGGTGCACTCCTTTTTTTTCTCATTTTATTTTTTTAAATTTTTTTAATTATTTTTTTTAACATTTATTTGTGTGTGTGTGTGTGTGTGTGTGTGTGTGTGTGTGTG